ACGATTTGCTGATTTTTCACCAGATGCATCGAATGGCATGTCATCTTCGTAATAAGCCGAAGTTATGAACTTACCGAGTTCTCCTCGCCAGTTGAGATTACGTAGTCACATTGATTTCCAGCTGCCATTTCACCATTGTCAGGGAATGTGAGATTACCCACGGATTCTGCGAAATGAGCTCCACAGCCTTAATGCGAGAATTTTACAACCATGACGTCCTCATGGACAGAAGGAAAGTTAAATTGTAGTAAGGGCTGGCTACGTCGAAAAAAACAAAGCCTTGGAAGGTCATCTCTCTAATTCCATGAAAACATATCACAAAAGGCTGGTTACTCACTGTTCTCCTCGAATTGGCACATTGGTCCGTAGAAACCCATGGGACAGACGCATCTGATTTGTCCAGGACCGCTTTCTTCGCATATACCGCCGTTTGCACAAGGCTCCGCAACGCAACCAGATACCTGAGAATCAGATCCTTTTAAATCATTTTGATCAATATTTGCTCCACATTCGAAGGTTTGGGTACAAAGAGTCAGCAAAATTGCCAAGTGCTCACGTTTAGAGCTCGGAAATTTGAAAATCAGGCTGTTTCATTTCTGGTACGAACAAAGGCTCCAGGAGCTGACCTTTTACCCTACCATATGAGCAGGAGGAGCATGAGTTGGCAAATGGAAAAAATGAAAGAATGGGTTCCAGCCTCGGATGGAAGAAGGGTGAACAGTTGGTGTGAAGGCAGAAACCCGAAAAAACAATGAACGGTCAAGAGGGATTAGGAGGGCCGCGAAAGTCTGGGACGCATGTGAATTAAGGTAAGTGCGGCTACAGTAGCAAAGGTGCTTGCTGTAAAACATACCTTTTCACAGTGTAGTCCGTAGTAGTACTGCTCACACGCACATCGGTATTGCGTTTCTGATAGCGGCTGAAATTGAATGAACGCTGAAACTTTACTGAATTTCATCTAGATTTTTTGATCTTTGTCCTAAACTTTTTTTCTAGTACGTACTGCCGTACAGGAAGTACCGTACACGTCAAATGCGAATGCACCCGAGCTATTCGGTGTGGGTCGTCACTTATTGGATTTGGAGGCATACTTGGTAAAGGAATTTCTCCCCGAATTTCCACGGCCTGCGGCAGTGGTTCCGAGGCCACTCTCCGTATCATTCCACAGGGAATTCGAATCTTCCCCTTCACAGCGTGCGATCGCGTGAGCCGAGCACGACACGTCGTTCGGGAAGAAGATACCAGACCCGCGTATACGTTAACATGTTTAGAAGCCCTACACCACCTCTGTCCGCTACCAGCTCAATCCTATTACAAACATAATTTTTCAAACCTATACAAAGCCAACTAGGTCTTTTGCGAGTACCAAATTTTCGTATACGGTAAGCTCAGTTGAGCAAACAAATTCTAAATATATGACTATCTATCCAAATCCTACCATGCAGGTACCGCCGTTCATGCAAACACCTTCACGACATATTGTAGAATTGCTCTGCTTGCAGCCGTCTTCTCCTGAATTTTATGAAAATGAGAAATTCATAGAATTCATAGCGGTAATGTAAACACTAGCTTTATAGATTTTTACCTATTCCGTCGCCCATCATGCCAGCCGGACAGAGACAGGTGAATCCGCCGGGATTCAGAGACGACTGGTCATCTATACAGGTAGCCGTAGGATGACAGGGAGCGCCATCACACGCGGACTTTCTCGCACATGTACGACCATCACCG